GTTTTTCATTAAGTCCATTAAATATCTTGGGGTTACCTTGACAAGAATGGGCGGCGATCAAACCCGTCGAGCATCAGAGCGATCAAATGCATGCCGCCACCAAAGGAGGTAGCGACCCTAAGATCATTCCTTGGCATGGTGAGTTCCTACCGTGCCTACCTCCTCTCCATGTATGATTTACTCGGGCCGTTAAATTAACTGTTGTTGAAGGATACCCCATGGGACTGGATGCTCAGATGTCAATAAGTGTTCGACAAGATCAAATCGATGCTGCGCTCGGAACTGATACTCACGCATTCTGATCCGATGTTAGCAATTGGTGTGGCCTCAGATGCTTCAAGCTATGCGGTCGGTGCAGTCATCTCACACCTTTTCTCTGACGGAGCCGAAAAACCAGTCGCTCATGCCGGTCGTTCGCTGACATAAGCTGAAATACATTACAGTCAAATCGAAAAGTGGTTCTATCCACCCTTTTTGCGGTAAAGCATTTTTACAAGATGCTATATGGTCGTCAACTCACTGTACTAACGGACCACAAACCTCTCTTTGCCATATTCGTGCCCAGGAAAGGGATTCCAGTGTACACTGACAATCGTCCGTAAAGATGGGCTACAATGTTGCTCCGATATGATTTCACCATTAAGTACCGATCGACAAATGACCTTTGTCAGGCGGATGCACTATGACGATTGATGGATGAACAGTATCAGTCAGAAGGCACCGTTGTTGCCAACGTCCCATTAGAAATAGAAGTTACTTAGATGCTTTCAGACACGGTGAGCCGACAACCAAGATCTTTCAATCTGATTTGGAATATTGTTAGCTCGGGAGGCTTGCTCAGTTGTAGTGGAGTTCTCCGAGCTGGGCAACTTGGTTGCAAATGTTTCGCCACCATTCGAGGTGGCATCTTCAGTGCGGAATTGGTAGCAGTTGCGCAGCAGTAGCTGGTAGAAAGCAAACCCAATAATGGATACTGTCAGCAACCACTCCGTTCCTTATATAGGCATACGGGGCTATTAATCTTGCCTCACTCTCATTGGTTAATCCTTGTGTGCGGCGGTTGTGCTCGAGTCGTTTTCATTGGCTGCGGAAATGTTGTTGCGACGCGGTTGGGATTATCGCACTCGGATTGGTGCAAGATGTGTGGGTGAGTAGTCTGGGCTCATATTAACCATGTTGTTCATTGTCCATGTGTTGGATTAGGTGCTCTTGGACAACGGTTGTTGATCCGCTTGAACTCTCTCTGTCTCAGCGGTTGATATATTGGATCGAGGTCGATATGCATGTTGATTGAGTTCGTGGTTGAGAACCAGGCTTCGAGGAACTCCCTCCCTTTTTGTGTTTCTCCTTCAGTCAAGATCTCTACCTTGTTCCAGTCGAACCTGTGTCCCTCTTCATCCACGTGTGCTGAAACCAATGAGGTTGCGTAATGATTCTTGCACGCTCTTTGGTGTTCATGTATCCTGGTGGACAGCTTCCTTCCTGTTTGTCCCACATAGTGCTTTTCACAGTTTGTGCAGTTTATTCTATATACGACATTCCGTCGTTCTAGTGTCTCTCGCTTTCCTTTTGGTTTTGACAAGGTTTTCCTCAGAGTGGCGGTTGGCTTGTGGGCTACCATGATATGATGCTGTTTGAACAATCTGGCAGTCATTTCAGACACGTTCTTTATGTATGGCAGAACTATACGTTTTGTCATAGCTGACGTAGGTTCGGTTTTTGAGGGCTTGCGGTTTAAGCATCATTGGAGGAAACTGCGTGGGTATCCGTTGCGTTCAAATGAGTTGAATACGTGTTTTTATTCTGCTCGTTTCGCTTCTGTCGTACTGCAGTGAGTTGCTATTCTATGGAACAGTGTCTGCACGCAGCTTATTATGTGACATCTTGAGTGGTTGCTGTTGAAATTGAAAATCTGATATTTGTGCGTGCTTTTGCACTAAGACCAATCGTGTCACTTCCAGGCACGCCCACCTACTACCTGGCAAAGGAACTATGGAGGCGCCTCAAGCACCTAATCAGTAAATCGCAACACTCCATAAACAACGCTCAACAATTCTTGACAAAACTCAAAGACCTACGAATAGAACACGACGAAATCATGGTGTCCTTCGATGTGACTGCCCTATTCACTTCCGTCAACTTACAGCTGGCCAAAGAAATTATCACAGAACGTCTGGACAACAGCGGAGGGAAGATTGGGAACATGACGACCAGAAGCGTATGCGAACTTCTCAACTTATGTCTCTCAACTTACTTCGCGTTCAACGGAAAAATGTATAAACAAGTGAAAGGTGCACCGATGGGATCACCGGGATCCGGACTCATCGCAGAGATTGTCATGCAAAAATTGGAAGAAGATCTACTACCAATGAGTAATCTTAAACTTTGGGTTCGCTACGTCGATGATACGTTTGTGATTCTCAAACGTAGTCAAGTATCGGTGGCACAACAACTGCTTAACAACGCTATGAACGGCATACAGTTTACGATGGAATCAGAGAAGGAAAACAAACTTCCTTTCTTGGATGTGTTGGTAGCCAGAACAATGGACGGCGAATTGCAAACCCCAGTTTACAGGAAAAGCACGCACACCGATCAGATTTTGAATTTCAACAGCAACCACCCAAGATGCCACAAAATAAGCTGCGTGCAGACACTGTTCCATAGAATAGCAACTCACTGCAGTACGACAGAAGCGAAACGAGCAGAATAAAAACACTTATTCAACTCATTTGAACGCAACGGATACCCACGCAGTTTCCTCCAAAGATGCTTAAACCGCAAGCCCTCAAAAACCGAACCTACGTCAGCTATGACAAAACGTATAGTTCTGCCATACATAAAGAACGTGTCTGAAATGACTGCCAGATTGTTCAAACAGCATCATATCATGGTAGCCCACAAGCCAACCGCC